ATCAGTGTGTTGGCAGCGTGGGTTCTTTCTGAGGGCTGTGAGGGCAAATCACTTCCATGCGCTCCCCTTTAGTTCTGGGATGCTCAGCTGTTCCATAACTTGCAGACAGCCGCTTTCTCCCTCTGCCTTCTCATGGTCTTCCTTCTGGACGTGGCTGTCTGCGTTTCCAAGTTCCCCTTTTTATGAGGACACGAGTCATATTGGATTAGAGCCCCCTCAAATTCTCTCCTCTAACTCAATTAACTGAAAAGACATTACTTCCAAATAAGGTCATAGCCGTAGGTACTTGGGGTTAGGATTTCAACATCTTTTTTGAGGAGGAAAGTCAACCCATTTCAACATCTTCCAAAACCAGGAGTGGGTGATTCTTTCATGATTTCACCCACCCACCCAACCATTCATCCATGGATTTATTCGTTCACTTATCCATCATCCATCAATCTATCCACCCATTACCATGCATCCGTTATCCATCCCTCCACCCATTCACCCTTCCATTCATCCTTTATTCATCCATCCATCCATCCATCCATCCATTTGTCCATCCATCCATCTACTCATCCATCCATCCATCCGTCTACTCATCCATCCATCCGTTCATCCACCCATATACTGATTCATGCATCCATTTATTCCTTCTATCAACTTTTAGGGTCATACAGTTTCTGTGTGTTGGACACAGGGTAGACACCATGTTCCCGGGAGGTGTAGACCTAGAGTGACAGAGCCCTACCATGTTAATCGTCATCACATCCTTTATTTATTTAGGCCTCCACTTAGCTAGTGTCTCACTTGTAATTTTGTTTATGAGACTTTATCACATCACAAATGAAAAGGTTTTCCTTAGTCCGACTGTATTTCCTTCATCTAGGAAAGGTCTGGAGAACTGGCTTAGTTCTCCCACAATTGCCCAGGTTGTTGATCAGCAACTTGGCCCCATCCCGGTACTTCTGTGAGAAGCAAGGCTGGGTTGGGTTGGGGGTGAGTGGGGTGGAGCAAGGGGAGGCAGGATATTGGGATGGCAGACAAAAGCAACAGCTCTTGTTCAACTTTTCATTTCAAGGACTCTCTTGTGTTTTTAGAGAATGTTATTCAGCAGAGGCACGATATTGTAATTCTGTGGCCCAGAAAAACCATGCAGTTAAGGAGTTTCGTTTTCTTTGTCTTGTGACATCAGCATTGTATGCAGGTCCATGCTCCATGCTGATGGCCTGTGCTGGCCAGTCCTCAGAGAAGAGAGAGGAAAAGACCTAACTGTAACATAAGCACACGTGGACAAGGCTCCCTTCTTCCAGGTCAAGACGTGTGCAGCCCCGTGTCCATGCATGCACCCTCCGAAGCCAACACCCCCTCCACTCTAGAAGGTTCTGGATTGGACCCTGTGCCCGTGCTCATCTTCCAATCTCTACCAAAACAAATTCAATAATGAAAGGGGCTTTTCACATCGTCCTGTAGTGTAAAAACCCTGCTGTCCTATATGCCTCCCTCCTAGTGCAGTCCCCTCTGCTGGGGTGGGGAAATGCTTCCCTTATGTAATGTTACGTAAACTTGGACGGGCTTTTGCTCAGAGATGAATCTGATAGCTTAACTGCGTTGATCACAACTTTCAGCTGCACCTAGACCTCTTCACGATTACATCTAGCGTGTTGGGCAGATTTAGAAGTAAAGCCAGCCAGAGTCAAGATAAGAGATCATTTCATCATGTACATTCTGACACAGTTAAATACAGAAGGAGCTTGACATGAAGAACTAGTGGAGGCTTAACCATTTCTAGAGCAAATTGTCATTTCCATGAATAGTTCTTTTCTTGAGTTGATCTAAGAATTAAAAGTCTCTTTTAGAAATAACCCTAAACCTTATTAAAAACATCACAACCATAGAACAATCAAAATGAGTGTGAATTCTTCACAGCAACTCTCAAAGAGAGGTGAAATCCTGTTTCTCTCCTCTTGAGTCTGTACTGGCCCCTCACTTGCTTTGGCCAATGGAAGGTGGTAGAAATGACAGGTGTGCCATCCAGAACATTCCGTCCAATCAAGTCTTCTAGTTGGTGAAGGTCAAGCTCTTGGCTGAGAGCCAGCTCAGCTGCCAGGGGTATGAATGGGCCATCTAGAACATTCTATCTTTTCTAGAGCTCCAGCCAACACCAAGTAGAGCAGTTGAGTCCTGCCAACCCTCAGAATCAGGAGACATAACAACAGCTTAATGTTCGTTTAGACTACTACATTTTAGCATGATTTGTTCCCTTATAGATAACAAAAATAGATGAGCAAAATAACATCTATAGGCAGGATGAGTAGAAATGAATACATGAAAGAAAAACGAGAAACATTCTTCATAGAGAAGCAGTGACATTTTTAGCTACATTCAAACAAACGGCTTACAACCCCATCTGGTTTTTTTTTTCTTGGTTCCTGACTCATCGCACATGTCAGGCATCGTGAAATATGAACAACACAATATTGGTTTGTGGTTTTGAGCAGAGATGATGAACAAAGGTGGTAGAAGGCATGGTTATGTGTCATCTCCATGAGAGATGATGATAGCCTTCACAACTCACATGGAATGTGCTTCCACATCCAAAAGGGAGTACAGTGCTTGCTGCCCATTTTCTCCTAAATTCCCCTACTTATTTTCTTCCCAAGTGAAAGGACAGGGCCAGAGAATGTCAGAGATTCAGTGGCAGTTCATCAAGATGGTCCAACTCCAGTGATAATGCTTTTTCCACCCGTCAGCCTTCTTGGAGCCATAATATTTTTTGTGTGAGGCAGTAAGATATGGCGGGGACTGTCTCATGGTTTATGAGGAAGTATCGGAGAACATCATATATCCCACATTTCTCCTAGTGTTTCTTTGGTGCATCCAAAGGACAAACACTCTTTTTCATGTCATAAACCCCATTAGCTGTGATAATCCATTTTTGGGAACTACATGTGTTTCTCTTTCCATAAAGTTTGAATCTCACCAAATCTCCATTCCTAAGTCACAGAAGAGCCAAAGTGACGCTTGGCCGTTTTCTCAAATTGGCCTGACCCGCGATTTCTTTCCAAGTCATCTGCCTGCATTTCTCCTTTTTACATGTGAACATTCTGAAATGAAGTTTCCAGAGGGTGAGACCCCGATGGAAAAGAGCTAGAAAGTCCAGCTTCCCTAGGGCAGCGAGGAGGTTGGGTGGATGGAAGGGAGTTAGGGAGATGACACTCACCCTCCAAGGGGGCACTTGTCTGGAGACTTTTGGATGTCATGACTTGGGGGGGATGCTATTTGCATCTGGCGGGTGGAGACCAGGTACGCTACTCAACACCCTACATTGCAGATTATCTATCTATCTATCTATCTATCTATCTATCTATCTATCTATCTGCTATCACACCAGGGTATCCACATCCTAATCCCCACATGGTAAACGGGACAATGTCCCCCAAAGAGTCCACATTCAAATCCCTCAAATCTATGAATATGCTACCTTATAAGGCAAAAGTGCTTTTGCAGACGTGATTAAGAATCTGGAGATGCAGAGGATCCATCTGGATTACCCAGGTGGGCACAGGGCCTTCATTTATATGAGAGAAGCAGAAGGGTCAGTGTCAGAGAAGGAGCTGTGACCTTGGATGCAGAAGTTGGAGGGATGTGGGTCTAGGAGGCAAGGAATGTAGGCAGCTTCAAGCAGCTGGGAGGGCAAGAAATCCGATTCTTCTCTAGAAATCCCAGCAGGAATGCTGGCCTGTCACCACCATAATTTTAGCCGGGGAAGACCTGTTTGGACTTCTGGTCTTCAGGATGCTCAGGGTAGAAGGATTGCTGGTCAGGGGCCAGGAAGACCTGAGTCAGCCTGCATTTAATAAGTGATTGGAAGTCACTCAGCTCATGCTCAGCTTCCCAGAAACACAGTTTTCATTCTAAAATGAAGTTGTTCCTGTTTTTTTTGTTGCTGTTGTTGTTGTTGCTGGGTTTTTTTTTTTTTTTTTTTTCTTTTGCCTTTTTTTTTTTTTTTCACAGATTCCATGAGTATCTGTAAAAGCGCTTTGTAGCTATGGTCTGTTTTCACCAGTACAGTAATCATTGTTAGTATTATTTTAAAAAGATTTTTTTAATTTAAAAAATTTAAAATTTAAATTAAAAAAATTAAGAAAAAAGAATTTTAAGTAATCTCTACTCCCAAACATAGGGCTTGAACTCATGACCCTGAGACCAAGAGTCACATGCTTCATGGACTGAGCCAGCCAAGTGTTCCTCTCTGATTTTTTTTTTTTTGAGAGCCCAGGGCACCCACTCCCAGGAGTGCATTTGAAGGCAGAAGCACCAGACAGAAATTGGTCACAGGTGGTCAGTCCGAGCTTTGAGCTCTCAAGCAACACACACTGACCAGTCTCCCCATTAACATCCTGCAAACAGTGATTCTTCATTTGAATTCTGGAAGTCCCCCAGTGTGAACCTTATGGACCCCAGACTCACCCTCCACCCCTGGCTTGGCTGGAGCCAGATGGGAGGGGGTGTCCACTGTCCTTGCCTCTGGATGACCTGCCACCCTGGCTGTCCACAGAGTGCTGGCAGGACCTCACTCTCCCCATAAGCCTCCCGACCAGCCAGAACGCTTTCCAGCCCAGCTCCTCATCGGCAGTGTGTAGGCAAGAGTGATCCTGCGGGGCGCCTGGGTGGCTTAGTCGTTGGGCGTCTGCCTTTGGCTCAGGTCGTGATCCCAGGGTCCTGGGATCGAGCCCCGCATCGGGCTCCCTGCTCTGTGGGAAGCCTGCTGCTCCCTCTCCCACTCCCCCTGCTTGTGTTCCCTCTCTCGCTGTGTCTCTCTCTGTCAAATAAATAAAATCTTAAAAAAAAAAAAGAGTGATCTTGCTTTTTTGTCATGGTTTTTTTTCTCTCTCTTTTTAAACAAGAGTCATCGTTTTAAGTAAAGATTGACTCTGTTTCCCGTTGTCATTTCCTTGTTTCTGTTCCACTCTTTAAAAACAGGGTAACCTCTGTACATTAGGCACGAAGGCACAGACCTTCTGCTCACTCTACCGTGTCTCTCTGCAAGCATGGGGACAGTGTTTCTGCCCTGGGCATCTGCAGCACTCTTCCTGCTGGTCGTTGTGAGCATTTTGGGGGACTGGGCACTGGGTAAGTGATGCTTGCAGATGTAGGGACTTGTGTGCCTAAAATGTCCTTTATTTTTCCTTCTTTCTTTCCTTCCTTCTCCTCATCTTCGTGTGTTTCTCTTTTTTCTCTCTTTTGCAACGGTAGTTATTTTTTGTTTCCTTTTTTTTTTTTTTTTTGTAACAGTAACAAGGAGCGTGCACAGATTCCCGAGTCTCCGCAAACCCTAGTTTGCCTGTTTGCGGAGGGTTCATGATGGATCGAGTTTGAATGCGTTCGGTTCGAATGCAGAAAAAATAAATAAGTAAATAAAAGAGCTCAATGTCTGTTGCATTGAGATTCTGGGTGGCTTCCCCATCCTTTCCGCCTTCCAAGAGCTCGAAGGCATTTTGTTTAAGTGAATACGGCTCTGTTAGTGATGAGCTCGTGTTACCTCCGGGAAAGGTGAGGGCGTCCCTCCACCCCCTCCATGGGCTTCAGAGCCATCCATCTGTGGGGTCATCCTTGAAACCCATGGCGGTACCTCCTGAGAGGGATCTCAGCTCTCACCTTGCTGTGTGTTCTCAGGGCCTGTTCCTGGGCTTTTTTCTGGAACACGACCACCAGGCTGCGTGCTCCTGGGGTATGCTTTGCTAACACAGTGCTAGGTGGCGAGAGAAGGCAGATGGGAAGGTGGGAGAGATCCAGCTGCAGTGGGCATGGTGGGGCAGGTCTCGCGTCCGACACGAGGTGTGATTGGATTTTCTGGCATGGGGGTGGCTCAGACGGGAGCTGGGGAGGGCAGTTTAGGGACCTGTAGTCTGTGAAGTGTCTCCTCATGTCACTGCATGTTCATCCTAGTGTTGCTGAGCTGGCTTCTTGCCTCCTGGGTTTGCAAGGCTCCGTAGACACTCCACCCCACCCCACCTCCCATTGACTAGAGTGTCATGATGGTGCATCAGGGTTCTAGTGGACACCGTGAGGAGTCCGAGGGAGCCTGCATGGGAGCCTCCCCGGGCAGGGGTTGCATTGGCTGTAACACAATTCCCAAACTCTGTGCCACATCCATCGGTCCATTGTCACATGCTCAGATCAGACCTTCCACGCACCAGACATCAAAGCAGACCCATGACACATTGCACGGGCATTTTACCTCCCGTGGACCTGCAACGGCTCCCAGGTGGCTTCCAGACATTGGGGTCTCCCTCCCTGACACCCCAGACTTGGACTTACGTTCAGAAAAGCACCGTGTAGACCAGTTCTGGGTTTTGACCCGCAAACAGGGGCTTGTAAGCACCGTCTGTAGACAACGTGCGCAACACACTCACAAACCCTTTCTCGTCACTTTTATTTTATTTCACTTTATTTATTTTTATTTATTTAAATTCGATTAGCCAACGTACAGCTTTCTAGTAACTTCTTAGAAAACACCGGAGCTTGTTTGGTTTGTGAATGGTGTTTGTGGTTTGCTTGCTTTTCTTTTCAATCGAGTTGCCTTCCCCCCGCCGGAGTCATTAAGGCATAAAAGCCTTGGAAACTGAGTAGAGGAAACCAGCTCCCACAGGAGCACAGCCTGAGGAAAGCTCCCCCCACTGGTCCTGTGGCCCGCCCCCCCCCGGGCGTCTTCGTCATGAACCCACTGGGACGCCCTGTTCCCATGGGTCACAGCCACCCATGGCAGGAGTCGGAATCCCATAGACGTGGAGGGAGGCTGCTCTGAAGCCAAATGTTGAGGTGGGACACGGACCGGGCATCGGGCTGCCTCTGCACCAAGGAAGTGGGGGGACCCTGGCTTTCATTTACCCTCCGTGCTGCTGATGCTGCATGAGCCTTGCAGGGAGTCCCGGGGTCAAGTCTTCCCATGAACATAAGGGGGCTGAGACATTTCGGATACGGCTATTAACGCACATCTACCTGCCTTTTCACACCAAGCATGGTGTATCTTAAGAGCATAGATGCTTACAATTACTGTCCCTACATCCATGTGTGTAATGCGCCCTCCCGTTGTGTGGGTTCAGCTGGGACCCCCCCAGTTTTCAAGTCCTAACTCCTGGAACCTCCCCACAGGACCTTATTTGGAAATAGGGTCTTGGTGGGTGGAGGGGCAGCCAGCTATTAGCAGCGTCCCTGTCATGGGCAGGAGAGATCTATAAGCGGGAGATGTGCACGCATAATGCAGACCTGTGTGCCCGGGTCACAGCCGGTGCGGACAACGAGAGGAACAAGGGGACCCCGAGGTGGGTCGGGTGGTTAGGAAGGATGTGGCCGACAGGCAGGAGCTGGATTCCACAGGGGGTCCAGGTGGGGATGGGCCTGGAGGATGGCACCCCCGTGTAGGTGGCTTTGCATTTGACTTGATTAACGGTCGCCAGCACGCCAGCACGTCAGCTGCACAGTAAATGAAGAGGAAGGGAGGGAGAAAGAGAGAGAAAGAGAGTCCAAATCACAAAATTAATAATGCTCACCTTACCAGAATTATTGCAGAGTTTAACCGGACGTCCCTCTGATATCACGGAGACCCGGCCAGCATCGGGCAGGACTGAGCGATGCTGTGTTTTCGGCCAACCTCCTTCCAGCCAATGAACCCCCGGGGAGGCGCGGGCATGGGGCTTCGCGTCCCTTCAAGGACCTGCCTGTATTTGGGGACCTTGCTTCGCCGCTTCTCGAGCTCTGTGTCCTTGCGTTTAGGACAGATAGGAATGATTCAGACGTTCCCACCTGACTAATGCTGTGGGTCCCTGTCATCTTTGTATTTGTCTTTGTGTTTGCTACCCTGAGGCAGGCGGCAACCCCCAGGGAAAAGGGACGTGACTGAGGATTTTACAGGATGCTGTCTAGCTTGGGCATTCCGTGGTTTCCCTCCCCACGCAATCCACGCTTTGATCAGACCTCGCGTACTAACCCCAGAAATACCCAGCACTGTTTAGGCTCATAGTCCCTTGGTGACAACCAAACACCCTGTAGCAAATTCGTGTGGTTCATGAATCATCATTTTTGTCTCTGTCTCTCTGTATAGTTAGCTGAGACCTGGGTACTGCACCTGGGAGGGAGATTGTTGGTGTTTCCGTGATGCACCTGCAGGAGGCAGACCCACCGTTTGCAAATGCATTGGGCTCCAGATTTCCTGCAGCTCTGGGAGGGTTACGGGATCAGAGGCAACTTTGCGAAAGACCTGTTGGGTCCTTGACATGGGGGAGCTGTTGGCAAAAGCAGGTTCCAATTGCAAGACCTTTGTGTGTGTGGGGGGGACCCTGCTCATCAGTGTTGGCGGAAAAGGTCTCCGTCAAGGGAAAAATCCACAGGAGCCAGGGCAGGGCGACATGTTTTTTGTTTTTTGTTTTGTTTTGTTTTGTTTTGTTTTGTAAGCAGCTCTTTTGGGATATAATTCGTCCATTTAAAACGTACAATTCAATGCTTTTTTAGTAGATTCATAGCTATATGCAATGAGTTTTAGAACATTTCCATCATCCCAAAAGGAAACTCTATACCCATGAATCCATCCCTCTCCCATCCCGATCCCATTCCCAGCCCCCTGACAACTGCTAACCTGCTTTCTGTGTCTGTGGATTTCCCTCTTCCAGACGTTCCATGTCCATGGTGTCATCACAATATGGGACCATTTTTCTCTGTGGCGTCTGTCACTCAGCCACGTGTTTTCATACTTCAGCCGTGTTCTAGGACAAGTGGATTCTTTATTCCTTGGATGGCTGAATGATACCTTGTCCTATGGATGGACCACAGTGTGTTTGTCCAAACACACGACTTTTATAATTTGCCCCCGGAGGGCACCTGGGTGGCTCATCCCATTGAGCGTCCCACTCTCGCTGACCACTCAGGTCGTGATCTCAGGGTTGTGAGATCGAGTCCCAGGTTGGGCTTTGTGCCTGGAGCAGAGTCTTCTTGAAGACTCTCTCCCCTTCTGCTCCTCCTCTGTGCATGTTCATGCTCTTGTTCTTCAAAATAAATAAATACGTCTTAAAAAAAAAAAAAGGAAGAAAGAATTTTGCCCAGAAAGCCCCAGACTGGAATGCCTGCGTGATCGGCATCAACACAAGGCAGTGAAATTCATCTGAACCATTCCTTGGGGCAGATGTTCCCAAATCTAGAGCATAAGCAATGACTTTAAGAAGTATGGTAAAATTAAGTGGTTTGATACAATTTTTTACAAAACTACATTGCTTATTCTTTTTAAAAAATCATAGTAAACTATATATAGAATGTTCTGTCTTAATCGTTCTTAAATGTACAGGTCAGTGACATTAACTACATTCACAGTGTTGTGTAACCAAACCCACCACCCATTTCTAGAACTTTCTCATCCTCCGAAACTGAAACCCTGTCCCCATGAAACACTGACTCCCATGCCCTCCCCATCCCTTGGCTCCACCATCTAGTGCATGTGGGGCTCTCCACAAAAGTGGGGATTTTGAATACAAGTGAACTCTTGATGAAGTCTGGCAATCAGTGTCCCAAGGATTTTTCTCTACCTCCTTCCCTTCCTGTACAGACAGCTTCTATTACTAGGATTTCCTTTGTTACAGGTTCTCTGATACAATTCGCAGTTTTAAATCTTTGCCTCTCAACACAACCAAATAAATTCATCATATCTAGTAAAATTGACACGTGATTTCAAGCAACAGCTGGAGGAAAAAAGCACAGTTGTGGTGTCCCCGTGTTCCTTTTTGTTGAGGAGCGTATATTCAAAGATGGGGACCCTGAGGTCACATGAGTAAGATGCCGTCGCTCAGTGGAAACGGTGCCACCAGGATGGCTAATAACAGACAGACCCGTGGCCCAGGAGCGTGGCTAGTTCCTGGAGAGATGGGGATGCTCCTGACTCTGCTGTGGAAATTTAACAAGAAACAAAATTGCTTGCCAACCCAGAAGCCTAATCCACAAAGGTGGCAGAGAGAGAAAAACCACTTTATTTTTCAATAAGAATTTAACCAGAATGCAATACACATCACACACAATGCGCTGAAGAGACCTACAAAGACAAGGGATCTGCAAACACAGAGACCCTTTTTGAGAGCTCATGGGCATCACCCATGACACACATATTCTGCAGATAAACGATAACTAGTCTTCGAGTGGGAGACCCCTCAGCACACTTTGTCACACAAAGTTCTTAATTTCATCCGGTAATTGGAGTGACCATCTGTTAACTAATTGGTTTTATCGAATGGAAAAATAAACTCCTATCTTTACGATAAGATGTTGTGTTAAAACTTGGAGCCAGACTTACCCTCACACAGAAATTGGGAGATGGAGCATCACATTCCTTGGTATTTGCATTTCAAAGAGTTGGTTTTTCAGGTCCTTGAGAAAGATATCCCTGGGTCCTAAATCTGGCAACAAATGTATTAACTTTTAAAAAGATTTGAATGTATGTCAAAGAGATGGAGAAAGATCTTACAAGTTTCCTAAAGTAAATTCTCCAAGAAAGGGAGGGGAAGCGTGTCTTCCTTTTTTATTTTATTTATTTTTTTAAGATTTACTTATTTGTTTTAAAGAGATAGAGTGCATGAGCTGGAGGGGCAGAGGGGGAGGGAGAGAGACTCTCAAGCAGACTCCATGCTGAGGTGTAGAGCTTGACATGGGGCTCCATTGCATATGACCCTGAGTTCATGACCTGAGTCAAAATCAAGAGTCAGACACTTAACCGACTGCACCACCGAGGCACCCCTTATTTTATTCTTTAAAAAGATTATTTATTTATTTTTTAAAGTAATCTCAAGACCTAGGGTGGGGTCGAACTCCCAACCCCAAGACCAAGAGTCGCACATCCTACCGACTGAGTGAGCCAGGCGCCCCTTTTATTTTTAACAGGAAGAATTAAGTCTTTTATTTGTTTTATTTTTCTTAAAAAGATATTTATTTATTTATTTGAAAAAGAGAAGGGGAGAGAGATGGAGAGCACGCACGAGGGGGAAGGGGCAAGGGGAGAAGCAGGCTCCCTGCTGAGCAGGGAGCCGGACACAGGTTTCAATGCCAAGACCCTGAGATCACGACATGAGCCGAAGGCAAATGGTTAACCTACTAAGCCACCCATGTGCCCCAAATGTTTTATTTTTAAACTTGATTTGCCCTTACAAGGTATGGGGCAGAGCAGGGGTGAGGACCAAATGTGGAAGCAAGAGTTCCCTCTCTACTTTACAAACCGCACCCAAGCCCTTACAAATGGCTTGCTGATCTTTGACCTGCTTTCATGCCCGACTGAAGAATCCACTTCAAGAGTGACACGGTGCTACATGAAAACGTTTTGTAGGATCAGCGGGACGCCTTCCATGCTTTCCTCCTCCTTCTCAGAGAGGTCTTGCCCACTGCCCAGTGGCGAGAACCCCAATCACGTCCCTCACCTAGACTCGCCAGGCATGTCTGAATCCATTCTGGGCACTTAGCAAAGAAGCAACAGAGACACGGTGACTTCCCTTTCTCTCCCCTTTTCAAGTCTGACCAAGCTGCGTCCTGTCCTGCAGCTGACTCATCATGTGGGGGAGGTAGTGAACCGCAAGAACATTTCTCCTTTCCTGCAGGTGCCCTGGGGCATCTGGTTTTATCCATTAGATATTTTCCACAGACAGAGGTCTGAAGATCTGTCATAATGTTTGCTGAGGACAGAGCTGTATACTTCCCTCCCTTTCAGAGCCTGGAAGGCATTCGCCGTACGAGATGGACACAAGTTCCTCTTCTGAAGGTCAGGGCTTTCCAGAAGCTAGGACGTCCTTCCTGACATCTCTTCTCTCTATTTCTGGAACCAGTGAATCAAGGTTGAGATCATCTATTTTGTGATCAGTTATGTCAGGAACAATCGTCAGCACAGAACAGAAGTATTCTGTACACCTTGGGCATTAGAAAGTCTTCTTTAAAAACTCAAAGCACATTTATACCCTTCATTCTACCTTTGATTTTCAGAAGTTGGGATAGACCCAGAGTCCCATAATAGGTTTTTTTTTAAGATTTTATTTATTTATTTGAGAGAGAGAGTGAGGAGAGGAGCAGAGGGAGAGGAAGAAGCAGACTCCACGCTGAGCACAGAGCCTGATGCAGGGCTCGATCTCATGACCCCAAGATCACAACCTGAGCCAAAACCAAGAGCTGGATGCTCAACTGACAGAGCCACCCAGGCGCCCCACCAGAGTCCCCTAATGGGATTTTTCACAGAGAGTTCAACTTCTTTATGTGCTGCCAATTCAGCACATCTTTCCTGAACATTTTTCTATGTGTTGAGCACAGGGCTGGGCATGGTCGGTAACATGGGAGTGTCAACCAGATTGGAAAAAGAAGATGAGACTAAACATGGTTGAGAACAGCATCGAGAGGACTCGTTGGGGTCTCAACGAATTGCAGTCAGATTGCCAAAATGCAGGAAACTGAGAGACAAAATAGCAGATGGACAATGGCCAAACAATCTAGGAAAACAGAACTCTGATTCACAACCTATGGCGACCCGCCTGGGAAACCTGCCCCTCAAGTTGATATCTGACAACTTCCCTAATTTTCATCCCAGCTTCCAACTTTGAACCAACCACAAAAACACAATTTTGCTCGTCTAACCAATCCCATCGGACACCCTGCTTCCAGTGAACCACCTGAAGCTCCCCCTGTGCCAACAGCCTCCATCAGGACAAACTTGAGCCTCTGCACCCCACCCCAGCCCCCACCTGGCTATGAGGCTCTCCCACTCCTCTGTCTGCCTTTGGTGTCTGCCAAATGCAGGTGATGGTGCTCAACTCCCTGGAATAGCAAGTTTTGAATAGATGCCTTCTGCTTGTTTTCATTTGGGTGGCCATTGTTCATTTCCACAGTGTAGATAGTCATTGGCCAATTGCATGAGAATTTTGGTTGGAGATCTTAAGAAACCATAAGGGAAATACAAGATTGGGTTTGGCTTCCTGAGAGGCCATCATGGGAGAGCATGGTTAATTCCAAACCATGAAGTGGGATGTGACCCTATGAATGTTCAAGTTATCCAGCCCAGAGACCTCACAGGGGGTGCTGAGCAAACAGAGCTAGGGCCAGGACCTGTATTTGCCTCCTGCTTGATGGGTAGGGGAGTTGAATGCAGCACTGAATGTGGAGTGTGAGTTCCTGACCTTCTCAGCATTTGTGGACATGTATATGTTCACCTTCCTCTCACCCACAACCTGCTGCGTGCTAGAATTATGTCCATTGACCCATCCATCCATCCATCCATCCATCCATTTTCTATCTACCTACCTACCTATCCATGCATCCATCATATATCTATTATCTATCTATCTATCTATCTATCTATCTATCATCTATCATCTATCTATTATCTATCTATCATCTATTATCTCTCTCTCTCTCTCTATCATCTATCTACCAATTCTGATACTTCCACTTCTAACTCAACACCAGTGAGTTCATTCTAGCCTTCCATATTCCCGAAATTGTTACCCCTTCTCTGACAGTTGGAAACTTGCCTCTTATTACCTACAGTATCATAGCATATTTGCTCAATCCTAGAATACACCCATTAACTACTTTCACAATGACTAACCCAGACATCTGTGAAAATCAAAAAAGTACCCGAGCTTAAGCCACTTGAAAAGCAAAGACCAAAGGACTCATTTGTCTGTGAGCTTTTTCTCAAACTGTCATGTGTGGTGCTCTGAGTAAGACAATGAGTTTGGTGGATGGTGGACAGTGTCTAATGCCCCCCATGTGTGCCCACAAAGGTGGTGTCATGAGACACACTGTCGATACTCAGTAGCTACTTTTCATACTAATTAATGGTCATTATCTCTTGCAAACATAAGAAGAAAAGCAGCTGTAATCTTGCTGCTGACTTATGCCTCTGTCCTGAGCAACCTTTATATATCCTGTGGCTCTTACTGACATAATTAATGTCTGGCTTATTTGTGAGAATCTTGATTTTTCTCTGTCCCTTTAAAGCATTCTATTATTCTTGTGACAGAAGTGCTGATGTCCTTTGACAAATTTCCAACTGCTTTCAGCATTGCCTAAAAGATCCTCTATTTGTCTCTTTTTACCCAGAAGGAGCATTGCAGCTTCAGATTATCAACTTTAATTTTGAAGTTGTGCAGGTTACATGGAATGCAAGCAAATTCTCTGGGACAAATTTGACTTTCCTCTACAAGTAAGTGCCCTCAGGAAGGGAACACACCATGCCCTGGGCTCAAATATTTCTTCCTCTGAGACACCGGCGATTGGGAGGGTCAGGTGGTGACGGTGTGAAGAATCAGAATGTGCAAGTGTGAATGTGTGTGTTCTGTTTAGGCCTGAGCCCTCACCACAACCACAACCACAGATCCCCAGAACAACCAACCAAGTTATGACTGAGTCACACTCAAAACCACCTAGATTCTTACCAGGACATCCACAGGTGTTTGTTCATCTGGGACCATTTACAATGTCTCAACAGATACCTTTAACTGGAGCCCTGTTCCCTCGAAGCATGCTGTGCAGCCATGGCAAAAGTTAACCTTCTGAGACTTTTCATGCCACCTTACCAGTAGCCAACTTCCGAAAATATTTCTCCCTATCACAGGCTTTTTTTGTCTTACACACTCAAGGACATGAGTATTAATGTGGGAGGAAAGGATTCTTCAATTAATTTAGTCTCAATTCTGTGAATGGGAGATGTGTGATGTGTGATTGATTCTTTGCAGTTTGATAACACATGAAACAAATGGGAAAGTGAACACAAGAGGGACATTTTAAGGTGAATTGGCCAGGAAAATAAGCCTAAAATAAAAGTGCTGAATTTTCTAGCTGGTCACACAGGTAAGTCCTTTGAGCATCCGTTTCTTCATTGTAAAGGACGTAATTCTTGATCAAGTCACTGCTTGGATTTGAGGATTTAAAGACAGAGCTTAAACTGGTCTCAACTGAGCACCACGTTTTTTCTTAATATTGTAGGAAGCCTCAGAGAGATCGCCAATCTTGGTACATCCTTATTAAAGTGCCTCCTCAAATCAGGGACATGGTTACTCTGCAAGTCAAACTCTACTTGTATTAGTTTTCTGGGGTGGCCGTAACAAAGTACCACAAACTGAGCAGCTTAGAACAACAGAAATTCGTCCTCTCCTGGTTCTAGATACCAGAAGTCTGAGATCCAGGCGGGGCAGGGCTGCTGAGATCCAGGCGGGGCAGTGTTGCTGAGGTCCAGGCAGGGCAGGGTTGTCCTCCTTCCAAAGGCTCAAGGGGAAGGTTCTTCCTGCCTCTTCCAGCTTCTGGGCTCCAGGCATCCGTAGACTTGTGGCCGTGTCCCTCCCGTCTCTACCTCCATCTTCACATGGCTTCTCCTCTGTGTCTGTGTCTTGTCTTGTGTCTCTTACAGGGATGCTCTCATTGGATTTAGGACCCACCATAATGCAACGTGATCTTATATTGATATCTTTCTTTTAATCTGTCAAGACTGTATTTCCAAATAAGGTCCCTTTCACAGATTCCAGGGATTAATACATGAACATGCCTTTTGGGAAGCCATTCAACCCACTATAGGGGACATTCAAGGAGCTTAACCTTTTGAAAGAAGGGATACTTTTCTGTTTGGACAGTTCTTGCTATACTTGTAAGAAAGGGTCCTTGAAACAAGTGAAGGGGATCCAGTCTGAGTCTGTGGCAGAGATGTGGAGCAAAGGGAGTGACCAGTAGGTTTGTGAAGGTGTTATTTTCAAAGACTCTCTCTGGCTGAATGGTTCTCTTGTTTAACCACAGATTAAGCAGTGATAAGACCAGTAGCCAATGCTCCAACTATATTCTTCAACAAAGTCATACTGCTGGATGCCTCCTGGAGGCAAAAAAAGATGAAATTCTGTGCTTTTCCATCAAGAATGAAACACATCTCCTTCTCACCAAGTGCCAATGGATCAGCGCTTACTGTAAGTACCAAAAATGAACTCATTGCCAAGTGCTTCTCTCCTACTCCAACTTAGAAGAGACTGGTCTTCTAGAAGATCCATCTTGATACACACGCTGGGCAAAGATGTGGCATGGCACTCTGCCCTCCAACAGAGAAAGAGAGAGAAGCACTCTCTTACTCTCAGTACTGCCCCACTGGTTTTTCTTAGATGCACTGAGGGTTGGCTGTCTATCTGGGATTACAAAAGAGTGTACAAATGAAATGACCACAAACCAGATGGTTTGAAACAACATAAATTAATCATCTCCCAGCTCTGGAGACCAGAGTCTGAGATCCAAGTGGGGCAGCGCTGCTGAGATCCAGACGGGGCAGGGCCGTGCTTCCTCCAGAGCTCCAGGGGAGGTCCTTCCTGCCTCTTCCAGCTTCTGGGGCTCCAGGCATCCTTGGGCTTGTGGCCACGTCCCTCTTGTCTCTGCCTCCATCTTCACGTGGCTTCTCCTCTGTGTCTGTGTCTCTCCTCTTCTGGCTAAGGACACTTGTTCTTGGATTTAGGGCCACCCTAATCCAGGACGACCTCATTCTATTTCGATTATATCTGCAAAGACCTTAGTTCCTGATAAGGCCACATTCACAGTACCGGAGGTTAGAACTTGAACAGACTTGTTGGTAGATACCCTGTAACTCACAAAAGTGTTCATTTTCTAGAAAGGAGTCCCATATGACATTTTCCATGTTCCGTCTTCATTTTAGTTTGTTGGGGCTACTGCAATGAATTGCTACAAAATGGGTGGCTTAAAACAAGAGAAATTTGTCCTCCCACAGCTAAGAAGACCCCAGGCATCTGAAATCAAGGTGTGGGCAGGGCTGGTTCCTTCTGGAAGCTCTGGGGGATAATCTGTTCCATGCCTTTCTCTTCGTTTCTGGTGACTGCTGGCAAATCTTGGTGTTCCTTAGCTTGTTGACCCATCGGCCCCATCTATACTTCTTTCTTCACATGTCCTTCTCCGTCTGTGTGTCTGTGTTTCCTTTTATGAGGACACCAATTATATAGGATCAGAACACACCCTACTCCAGTAAAACCCATCTTTTCTTCAATAATTATATCCGTAATGATCGCAAATGCAGTTATATTCTGAGATATGGGGGCTAGGACTTCAACATTCATCCCATAGGGGTGGGGGAACACTCTTCATTGCATAACAGATACGTAGGAATTTTTCACACAATTTCAAAGAGTTCATTCCATGACACACATACAGGTCCTTGGAGTTCTGGTTAAAACCTCTCCTATAGATGTAGTAAGGACAAATAACCCCCAACCCCAATCTAACAATGTATTAAGGGAAGGGTTTATGCAGGTAGAAGAACAAGAGTCTAAGCAAACTTACCACTGTAATTTTAGAGATGTGGGATCTTTATCTTTCTAGAGGTGATGATCATTTTGTTGCCTCTCCTTCTTAGTGAAACCCAGCTCCCCGAAAGACTTGAACTTCCAGTGGCATCAGGAAGCCATTACGGTGACCTGTTCTGATCTGCCCTACAAGCGTCTCCTCTATGAAATCCAGTACAAGAGTATGTTCGACACTGAGTGGCAAGTGAGTGGGGTGGCATCTTCTTCTCAGGGCAAGTGTGAGCGAGAATCCCCAAGTGGTAACTGAGAGAAACATGGAGAGACACAGAGACAGATGCTGATATTTATTTTAAGGGATTGCTTATGCGATTATAGGGACGGGCAAGTCTCAGACCAGCAGGCTGGAAACCCAGACAGGTTTCCATTATGGTCTTGAGACTTCTCCGGGAAACTTCAGTCTGTCCTCTCGAGGCCTTTGCATTGAGTAAAGCTCACTAACCCACGTTATAGAGTGACCTTAAGTTGGCTGATTAAAAACATTAATCATTTCTAGAAAATACCTTTACAGTAACGCCTAGGCGGGCACGTGATTTAAAAACTGGGCACCACACCTGGCCAAGTTGACAAATAAAATTCACCCCCATCACACACTGTACCATCCACCCCTCTTTGTATGCCTTTTGAACACATGAGAACCCTTTCTGGTTCTGAGTATATGGGCACAATCTATGGAATAAATTAAAATTGTGTGAATATCAATGACCCAGGGGCTCACAGTTGTCTCCCAATAATCAAATGACCACCATATAAACAAGGGACTAACTTCCTTGCAAAAGCAGAAGAGAAACCAATGGGCAAAATCTGCAGAGAGCAGACGGAATCACCCGAATCATGTACGGTGAGGTGGCCATTCCTGGAGGTGCCCAAAGTCTGAAGTTGGCATGAAGGGCTTTCCTAAAGACTAGAGTCTAGCACAGCAAAAGTGGTTAAACTACCTGGAGTATGAGCTCCCTGACAATCCCAGGAGCCAATGATTCCACAATTCTGCAAGTACACCTGTGTCCATCAGGCTCTTCAGACTTGGATAATGAAGTCAGCCAGAAGCACCGTATCTCAGCACCATCCAGGGAGTAGGGGGGAGCTAAGGCAGGGGGAGTGTAACTGACTATCTCAGCCCAGGACTGTCGATATCTGCCACGTTTACAGGTGTTGGGAGGGGCTTCCTTCAACATTCATTGAAGATACACTTACTGAGCATCTATTATGTCCCTAGCACTGAGGACGTAATAATAACACCTAGTTAGGGTGACTTGGGGATGGAAGCGATAACACATGAAAAGCATTAAGTAAGTTCATTCTTACTATGGGTAGTTTTACTACTCTCACCACTAGACTCACAGCTACGACTCACTTACTACCCTCACTCATTATTATTATGTTCACTGGTGTCTGCACCAGGTGCATCTGTGGAGACAGCAAGGAGATCTGTCATCAGACGGCAATCCCTACTCTCATGAAGTGTACATTCTGTAGGAGGAGACAAACCCTAAGCGGATGCATTGCCCGTGTAACACACCCCAAAATCTGGAAATGGTGCAATAAAATGTAGCAGTAAGGATAAAAATGAGAATACCATTGTAAGGCAGTTGTATGTAACTGAAGCAGGAGGGGACCGATCAGAAATAGAAAAGAACTGATCTATTGCTGGGTCTAGTAGAATGTAATCACTGAAATGAAATTTGATGAAACTCGTCAAAGAAATACAAATTAAAGCAACAGGTGGGTACTTGAGTTCACCTAAAGAGCATGCTAATAATAAAATGTGTTACTGGTCAAGGATGTTGAGCATCAGCAAACTTGAAGGGCTCATCAGTTGTCCTGGTTCTGGTCTATGGTCTATTCAGTCCCTTTTTAGAAACTGATGCTAAGGAAAGAATTGAAAATGTGGGTGAGGTTTTATACACAGAGACATCTATTGAAGCATTATCTAAAATAAATACAGAGCCCTGGAGGCCACCTGTATGCCATGCACTAGGAAGATAGTCAAAATAAATATGATAAAATATGTAAGAGTCACCAAAGTCGCTTTAATGATAACAGATATTTAGTGATAAAAGCAATGTGTACAGTAAAACATTGTATTATATGACTACTCCTGGAAGGAAAGAAAGAATATCAATTTGTTAATGGTGATTATATCATGGGGCTAGAATAAAGACATTTTTATGTTTTTGTGTTGTTGCGTGTTGGTATGTGTGTGTGTATTTTCTAAAGTTTCCAAAGTAAAGCATGAGTTACTTTTGTATTCATACAAAAAATTACTTTTCTTTTTAAGGAGTACGTTTTCATCAGGTAATTCTTAAAAGCATCTGTGGTAGTGTCTGTTACAAAGGATTGTTTGTTCTTGGAGGGGCCTCTAGAGATTGTTGCTGCATTTTTTTTTTTTTTACTGTTGTTTTTGCTAGGCAGACAGAGGAAGTGCAACACGAGTGTGAATGCTGAAAAGTAGGAATCTTGTGTGACTTCCTAGTACAAAGATAAAGAGTTTAGGTCAAATCACTGATCACTGTGTTTGCTTTTTTTCCTTCAGTCCAAGGAGGGAGAAACCTGCAATGTTACAACAGATGGCTTGGATGCTGAGAAATGTTATTTCTTCCGGGCCAGAGTGAAAACAATGGAGTCCAGCTATGGCCCTGACACATACCCGAGTGACTGGTCAGAGGTGACACACCAGCAGAGGGGGGAGCTGAGAGGTGAGGCTTGTTACACAGCAGTGCGACACCTGTCTTTTGGGGGAGAGAGGCTTAGGGGCACCTAAAAATGAATGACCTCACCTTCCACTTCAGAGGCCAGTTTCAAAGCAATTGTTTCTCTCTCCAGGCTGCCTTCCTCATTGGGCTAATTTTCATTTTTATTTTTATCAACAGCAGCAATAATAATAAATAGTATTTACGAATGTTGTTACAGTGATATAGGCATAGATTATAGATACGTAAATAGATGATAGATGACATAGATAAATATATAATTATAGGTAAGTAAATGATAGTTGATAGATTGATAAACATAAATGGATGGATAGATAGATGGTACATAGATACATAGATATGATGGATGGGTGAATGAATGGATAGATGGTTAGATGATAGATAGAAAGATAGATGGATAGATAGAATGATGGATGGATGGATGGATGGATAGA